TATTCCCCTTTATCCCCTCTATGTTGCAACCAAACTGGCATCCTTGTTGATCCCCATGTCTTGCATGAGTTGTGTCCCATGTCTAGGTATCCTCACCTCTGGGCAGCTAGGTGCTGCAATTGACAGTGCTGGGCTTGCAGTCAGGAGGACCTGAGTTCAAATGTGGCCTCAGACACTTGCTAGTCACTTGACATCTGTTTGCCTCACTTTCCTCAACTGTAGAATAGAGGATAATAATGGCACCTACCTTACAGGTTTATTGTGAGGATCAAATGAGATAATATTTATAAAGTGCTTCCTTAGTAAAGTGCCTGGACCATAGTAATAAATGAACAAATACTTATTTCCTTTCTTCCTTTATCTCTTAGAATCTGTAGCTCGTTTCAGTGCTCAGCCCAAGTATCATCTCTTATATGAGGCCTTTTTAATTCCCCTGGCTACTAGTGGCTCCTGTAATTACTTTATGTTAACCTTGTATGAACTTTTTATTTACTTATAAATATATAAGTTGTTTCACCTGAGAGAGCATAAGCTCCTTGAGGACAGGGACTTTTGTCTTTGAATCACCTGCACCTAGATCAGTACTTATCACTTAACAAATGCTTATTGATAGACTTGATCTCTAAGTGCCTTTAAAATCATGCAGTTTCCAGTGTAGATTCCTTCTGGGAAAAATACTGATTTGGAATCAAAGAACTTGTGTTCAAATCCTGGCTCTTATTCTTCCCTTATTAACCTGTTATCTTGGGCAAGTTGGGCAAGTCTTAATAATTACAATTATTTTACTTAATACAGTACTAGAAACATTAGCTTTAGCAATAAGAGAAGAAAAAGAAATTGAAGGAATTAGGATAGGCAAAGAAGAAATAAAGCTATCACTCTCTGCAGATGATATGATATACTTAGAAAATCCTAGAGAATCAAGTAAAAAAAAAACTACTTGAAATAATAAACAACTTTAGCAAAGTTGCGGGATATAAAATAAACCCACATAAATCATTGGCATTTCTTTATATTACTAACAAAGCCCAACAACAAGAGATAGAAAGAGAAATTCCATTTAAAGTTACTGTAGACATTATAAAATATTTGGGAGTCTACCTACTAAAACAAACCCAAGAACTATATAAACACAATTACAAAACACTTTTCACACAAATAAAGTCAGATCTAAACAATTGGAAAAACATCAGTTGCTCATGGATAAGCTGAGCTGACAATTCTACCTAAATTAATTTACTTATTTAATACCATACCAATCAAACTACCAAAATTATTTTATAGAGCTAGAAAAAATAATAACAAAATTCATCTGGAAGAACAAAAGGTCCAGAATATTAAGGGAATTAATGAAAATAAATGATAAGGAAGGTGGCCTGGCCATACCAGATCTTAAATTGTATTGTAAAGCAGCAATCACCAAACCTACTTGGTGCTGACTAAGAAATAGAGTGGTGGGTCAGTGGAGTAGGTTAGGTAGGACTAGAAGACAGTAGTCAATGATTATAGTAATCTACTGTTTGATAAACCCAAAGATCCTAGCTTCTAGGATAAGAACTCACTATTTGACAAAAACTGCTGGGAAAACTGGAAAAGATTGTGACAGAAACTAGGCATAGACCAACATCTTATACTGTATACCAAAATAAAATCAAAATGGGTGCACAATTTAGAAATAAAGGCTGATAGTATAAGCAAACTGGAAGAGCAAGGAATTGTTTACCGTCAGATTTTTGGAGAACAGAAGAATTTGTGACCAAACGAGATAAAGAACATTATAAAATACGAAATGGATAATTTTGATTACATTAAATTGAAAAGTTTTTGCACAAAGCCAATGCAACCAAGATTAGGAGGGAAGCAGAAAACTGGGAAAGAATTTTTACAACCAGTGTCTCTGATAAAGGCATCATTTCTAAAATGTATAGAGAACTGAGTCAAATTTATAAGAATATAAATCATTCCCTAACTGATAAATTGTCAAAGGATATGAACAAGCAGTTTTCAGATAAAATTAAAGCTATCTATAATCATGAAAAAATGCTCTAAATCACTATTGATTAGAGAAATGCAAATCAAAACAACTCTGAGGTAGCACATCACACCTATCAGATTGGCTAACATGATAAAATAGGAAAATGATAAATGCTGGAGAAGATGTGGAAAAATTGGAACACTAATATATTGTTGGTAGAGTTGTAAACTGATCCAACCATTCTGGAGAGCAATTTGGAACTATGCCCAAAGGGCTATAAAACTGCATGTCCTTTGACACAGCAATAGCACTTCTAGGTCTGTATCCCAAATAGATCATAAAATTGGGAAAAGGACCCGCATGTACAAAACTATTTATAGCAGCTCTTTTTGTGGTAGCCAAGAATTGGAAATTAAGGGGATGCCCATCAGTTGGGGAATGGCTGAACAAGTTGTGGTATATGAATTCAATGGAATACTATTGTGCTATAAGAAATGATGAGCAGGTGGACTAATGCTGAGTGAAGTGAGCAGAACCAAGAGAACATTGTACACAGTAACAGCCATGTTGTGCATTGACTAACTTTGATAGACTTAACCCTTCTCAGCAATGCAAAGATCTAAGACATCTCCAAAAGTCTCATGATAGAAAATGCTATCCACATACAGAGAAAGAACTATGGAGTTTGAATGCAGATCAAAGCATACTATTTGCTCTTTTTTTTTCCTTCTGTTTTATTTTGTTTCCTCTTTCTTCCTATTGGTTCCAATTCTTCCTTATAACATGACTAATGTGACAATAGGTTTAATAGGAATGTATATGTGGAGCCTATATCAGATTGCACACTGTCTTGGGGCGGGGGAGGAGAAAAATTTAAAACTCAATAGTGTACGGAAGTGATTATTGAAAACTAAAAATAAACAAATAAATTTTTAAAAAAGAAAGAAAAAATAATTACAATTATTAGTGATAATTACAACAGCAATAATAATGAAAACTCTGTGGCTCATTTTACCCTCACTCAAGGCTCAGACCCCGGGAACTTCTGATTTTGGCTTATGTATTCCTCTTTGGGCTCTTCTGCAGGCCCTTGAAAGCACTCTGGGCTGAAAGTAAAAATTAAACACAGAACAGGTTTATTAAAAGGCCTGGAAAGAACAGAAAGGGGGCTCACATCCAAAACCCCTTAGCGAGGAAATAGTTTCAGCTTCACAAAATTTATAGTTACTAACTAGTCAAGTCTCCAGCTCATGTGTTGTTAAGGCTGGTCTGCTGTCAGCTTTCCCCTCATTCTCTTTGGGATCTTCATTGCTTCAGCCATGTAATGTCTGTGCTGCTTGCAGCTCCCATTCCTCACGACCACCCTTCTCACATGCCTTTTATTTTCCTTGTGGCTGCTTTCCTCTAAAAGTCCCCGATCAAAGCTTTTGTTTACTCAGGCATATATGTCCTCGTCTTCCCTTCAGACCACTATAACCAGAAGGAAAGGAAGAAGTAGAACCAACTTCTTTTGACACGTTCTTCCCTGATGTTGTGTTTTTATGGAATCAGTTAACAAAGTCAGGCCAGGTAGGCCTGGATCTGTTGTCTATAGTAGAACTTTTATTGCTCCTGAAACCTTCTTCGTGAAGCCTTCATGTTGGTCAGAGGACCACTGGTGACTTTCCCGTACCCTGGGATAAGGTGTTCATGTATCGATATGAAACTCATGATATTTTTTCCTCACTCTGCTCCAAAGATGTAGTTAGATTTGCATGGCCCTAAAGTTTACTTGCTTTTGATTTGTATTTGATCTAATTTTATTTGAACACTATCTTCATCTATCAGTTTAAAGTAGTTATTCCCAACTCTCATTAGTATAGAATCGCTGCAATTGCCTCAAGAATTCAGTAATTCAATAAGCATTTATTAAGTGCTTACTGCATACCAGGTATTGTACTAAGCACTGTGGATACAAAGAAAGACAAAACCAGGTCCCTGACCTCAAGGAGTTCACATTTTAAAGAGGGAGACAATATGCAAGTAACTGTGTATATCTTAGCTCAGTGTAATGCAGTGTATATGGAACGCAATCTCAGAGGACTGTCTTCAGTGGGTCCACAATGTAGATTATAGCTGATCCCTGCCTACCCATCTGGTATGACTTTTGTCCATATATCCTCCCATATTAAGTTCAACCCAGACATTTCAGCCAATGTGTTAGGGCCTTCTTTATTCTCTCTGGTCATCATAAGGATCCCAGGGGAGCCAACAGGTTGCCCAACAATTATCCTTGCTTTCTCTGTGTGACTAGCTTATCTTCCCTCTCACTCATTCTTAGATGAAATCCTTTGATCCAGTTCTCCTGCCTAATTTTTTATTCACGATATATCACAGCATGTTCTCATGTAAGGATGCAAAATTAAAGGTTACTCTGTTATGTTAGACTGCAGCTATATGCAATTGCTATGTTTCTAAAGACAGGATATGATCCAGAATATAACTGAATCTGTGGAGTAGGAGCTACAGATGAGGCGCTAGGAGATCCAGCTTCTATAATTTGGCTCATTGTGAGTTATCAAGTTGAGAATCTTGAAAATGGAATGAACTGTAGGCATCATCTTCAACCAGTGGAAAGCATATTGGATTTGGAGCCAGAACAGCTGGTTTCAAATCCTTTCACCTTATAGATGAGGAAACTGAGGAGTCAAGAATGTTTTGACTAGAGAAGACAAACTTTGGGAGAGGACATGACAGCTTCCTTCAACTATTTCACAGTATCATGGATTTAGAGTTTAGATTTAGGGAACTCAGAGCTGCCTAGGCCCCTCATTCTACAGATGAAGAAACTGAGACTTACACAAGTTAAGTGACTTGGTCATGGTTATACAGACAGGAAGCATAAGAGGCAGGATTTTCAAGATCCCACAATACAATGACCAGTGATGAATCAGTGTATTCCTTCACACAGGTTCCTTGTGGTCATTTGTGACAAAATTAAACTTTGAAAAAAAAACTAACTCCTTCGTCTTCTGTTCTTTTGTAGATGTCAAGAGTGAATACAGAGAAATGGAAAAATTGTATAAGAGCCTGAGAGAAATTGCAGAGAATGCGGTGATGAGGAGGGGAATGCAAGAGTTTCTCATGAGAATGTCACCTAGAAAAGTTGGCTCCCCAAAAAACTCAACTCTTGTCTTTTGTGGTTAGGCTGCAGGATTTAGAAATTGACCCTGAAGCAAAAGAAACATTGATTTCTGTATACTGAGATATCAGAATGGAATTTTCCAGCATTCCAGTCAATATATCTTTTGGTCATTGGAATAATCTGGGCTGTCTTTGTTCTCTGATGAACATGATTTTGTTTTGAGTCTGTAACTAAACCAGATGCCTGCATCCCTGTGGATAGGGTGCAGCTTTTGGTATCCACTCTTTGTTCCACCTTTGACATTGGCAGATACTTGGAAAAGAATGAACAAGCATCAGGGAAAAAGAGGCCGGGTTGTATGATAAGATCGGACTAGCCTAAGAACTGAAGGAGCAGAGTTCTGCTTCTAGCTTTGCCACTGATTAGCCGAATCATCACCTTGGGAACATCCTCTGTAAACTGAAAATGCTGAATTGGCTAACTTATCCCCAGGATTCCTTACAGCTCTGACCTACAACTATCCCCAAATTCCTCCCTTTTCAATGCTTTGGTTTCTTCCCCTTCTGTAAAGGGCATGCAGGGTTTTGATCTGCCTCACTAACATGGGTGAGGAGCTTATGAAGTCCTTTTCCCATTCAATCCCTGAATAAACAAACATGACTGTGGAAGACTGCATAGCTCCTTTTACTGAGGCCCTGGAAAAAATGTGTGGTCCAATACTATGTCTTAAGGAGATGGGTTGGAGGAATTGGGGATATTAAGTCTGAAGAAGAAAAGACTGGGATGGGGGCAGGGGAGAAAGGGACATGATAGCCAACTTCAAGTACTTCAGGTGTGGAAGCAGGATTAAACTTTCCTGCTCCTCCCCAAAAGGCAGAACAAGGAACCACCCATTAGTGGAATTTGCAAAGAGACAAGTTTAGATTTCATGTCAGGAAAGACTTTCTGACAATTAGAACTGTCTGGAGGTAGTAAGTTTCCCACCACTGCCTGGATGACAATGTGCTGGGTATCTTAGAGCCAGGTACTCTTTCCTAGGTGTGGGCTGAATGGCTGCTAAAGGTCCTTTCCAACTCTGCAATTTTGTGAGGGTTCTGGCTTGTTTTTGTTTCTGCCTCCAGATCTTAGACAATGAAACAAGTGACAGAGGCAACATGGTACAATGGAAAGAGCGTTGGATTTTGCATTAGAGGGACTGGATTTGGTATCAAGAGGACCTAGATTGAAATATTGACTCTGCCCCTTGCTACTCAACTCTGGACAAATCATCTCTGTGGGTCTCCATTCCCTCATCTATAAAATAAGGAGGTTATACTAAATGACCTCTAAGGTCTCTTCTGGCTCTAAATCTATGATTTTAAATGTGCTTTTGGGGAGTAGAAGAAGACAAAAGTATGGTTAAAATTTCTAGTGCCTGATTTCAAAAAACAAAACCATTATTCAAAGTCAAATCACGCCCCAGATTCCTACAGGCAGGCTTCTTATACATAGAAGGGCAGGCATGTTCAGCCTCATGGTAGGATCTCATCAGCACATACTTCTGTCAACCAATGTTTTCCATATGCTGCTGAATCTGTGGTGTTTTCTGCAGATATTTAGTGGGTTGGGCTCTGAGAGCATTTTTTTCCAAATGTTCCCTGTTCCCACCTCTACTTTTAATGATAACTCAGTGTGGGTGAAGCCACTTGAAATTTACTTTTATGGGAATAGTTCTTTGAGGGGAGGTGGAGGGTATAGATAGAAGAAGAAGGGGTGTTGTGTTAGGGTAGCACCCTGTAACACTAGAAGGCCTTCTCTTAAAAGTGGCTAGCTTATTTGCTCCACCAACCAAGGATTAATAAGCTCTATCCCAAAGAAAGTTTCAACCAATTGGTCATTCATACTTTGGATCTATTACTTTTTTTCTTTATTAAAATTTTCTTTATTAATTTTTAGTTTTCAACATTCACTTTCATAAGATTTTGAGTTTTCAATTTTCTTCCCCTCCCTCAGATGTGTACTTTTGGAAAATATCTTTGGAAACTGTGTGGAGGGTAGACTGGAGAAGGAAGAGACTTCAGCAAGGAAACCAAATTAGTAGGTTATTGCAATGGTCCAAGACAAAAGGGGACTGATGGTCAGCTTCTTGAACAAATGTATGAATGAACAAAAAAGCACTTGTTAAATGTTTACTGGGTGTCAGATACTATACTTCAGATCTGGGAACAAAAAGCAAGATAGTCCCTGCTCTCAAGAAGCTTTCATTCTAAAAAAGGAAGACAACACATATGAAAGAATGGTGACCAGGGAGGGATGCTTTGGTCAGGGAAGTTACAGGAACGGTGAGTGGAGTCATAGGGCAGTTGATTGGCATGTCCTTTTCAGGAATGGTGCTGTTGATTTGATCAGTTTTCCCAGAGCTAGAGGTGGTAACGGTAGCTAGGGTGGTAAGCATAGGAACATTGCATGAACATGTCCAGGGAATGGTGTGGTGGGTCTGAGTCAGGTTAAATATGACGAAGGCTCGCCAATCCAAAGCCCAGGGTCCCAGGGCAGGTACTGTAGTTGGGGGCAGAAGGAGAAGATGCAGCACAGGAATATGGCATGCAGATGATAGGGGAGCAAAAAAGTACCATTGACCAAATGGTCTGATTTCTTGTCCAAACCACTCCAATTAGTTAAAATAGCAGTCTGTTAAAACACCTTTGTTTCTTTTCCTGCTGTCATACATAGTACCAAACTGACTAACAGTCCTGGCTTAGGAAAGGCAGGCAGAGTAGTAACTAGCATAGGATCAATGGGGCTTTAGTCCAGGGTGCCAATATCCAGCAGGGAAGCTTGCTTCTGAATACATTGGAGGATGTTTCCTTTTGAGGAATATGAATTTTAGCCCCATGGTGATCTCAATCCCTGTGCCTTAAGTCATGGACCTTTAGATTCTTGTCACTATGGTGCCCCTCTTTTGGAGCCTGCTTTTCCCCACAAAGCCTCATGGGTTAGACTTTGACCTCCCTTGAAATGATGGCACCCAAGGTCAGACTATCTTTTGTGCTGCCCTAGCCCTAGCCTTTACCCAACTGTTCTTATCCCAGGCAAAAATATTCCTTATTAGGGTTCTGGAGGTCTATTCAGGACTGGCTTTTCAACAAAAGCTACTTCTGTTTTTTTTTAATGTCTGTTTTCAGAGCGGCCTATCTGTTTTTCTAAATAGTTGCAGCAATTTAATCTGTTCTCGGTCTCAGTTTATTTTTGAAATCCTAGTGGGTAGAGGTGGGAGATGAAGGAAAAGAGGCAACAAACTTTGTTCAGAGGTTCCACAACTGGTTAGGGAGACTGATGGGTATGCTTACCCTAGCCAGCCAAGTGAAGGTGTTCCTTTTTGGCACTCCCTTTTCCCATGCTAAAAGTGCTAGATGGCATGTTTATCCTGAATACTAAAGCTAGTTCAAATTCATCTTGTTTTGAGATTTCATTTTCTGATGCCAATTGAGGTTATTGGAGATTTGTTGGGGTGTCCACATAATCAGACATGGTGGTTGCAAGTCTGTATGGTGCCGAAACAAAATGGCTGATTCTATCAGTTCACTATAGTCTAAAGTGATATGTTCCAGCAGAATGTAAGCTCCCTGAGAGCAAGGCCACTTGTTTGTTTGTTTTTTTGTCTTTGTGACTCCAGTACTGAGCACAGGGCCCATCACAATAGTAGGTGTTTAATAAATGACTATTATTTATTGATTAATACCTAAATATTTCCAGATTTTTTTGCTCAAGCAATATCTGATTTTTTTGTGCTTTGTAAGTGGGGTATGAAACAATTACTTTGTAAAGATATTACAAACTACATGATTAACCAATCAACAAATGTATTAAATACCTGGTATTGTGCTAGGTGATGGGTACGAAGAAAAAAAAAGAAACCCTTCCTAACCTTAAAGGTCTCTCTCGGGATAGGTGACATGTACACATATAAATACATACAAAATAATCTTTTTTGGGGGGATATACTAGCAGTTGGGGGGATTGTGAAAGGCTTCATGTAAGAATTGGTGTTTAATCAGAATTTTGAAGGAAACCAGAGATTTCACAAAGCTCAGGTAAGGAGGGAGAGTATTCCAGGCGTCTGGAATAGCTGGTACAATGGCACGGTGATAGGAGATGGGATGTCCTCTGTAAGGAACAGCATGAAGGCCCTTTGGTGGGACTATAAAGTGTGTCAAGTTTTTGTTTTTGAGGACATAACCATACTCTTCCAGCTGCCCATGCCACTTGAGCTGTGTTAACATTAAGCCAAAATATCTGGTAGATTCTATCATCCCAAACTAAAGTTAGTCATTTCTTTCTTGTTTTTTTGTCCGCATTGGGCTAGACAACTAGGATGTTGAACTGATAGAATCAGCCATTTTGTTTTGGCATCACGCAGACTTGCAACCACCATGCCTGATTATGTGGACACCCCAACAAGTCTCCAATGACCTCAATTGGCGTCAGAGAACGAGATCTCTAAACAAGATGAATTTGAACTAGCTTTAGTATTCAGGGTCAACATGCCATCTAGCACTTTTAGCAGGAGGAAAAGAGAGTGCCAAAGACCAGCCGATAAAGATGGAGCATAGCATGCAGCTCCAGAAGGGCTGGCAATCACCGGTGCCGAGAGAGACTTTGTTATCAAAATTCTTTGTGTTCTCTTTCCCTCTGTTTAAACAAAATAGTGATATTTTGTTTTGACACAACCAACATTTTCCCACAAACATTCAATCCCCTAACAAAGCACATTTATTTTTAAAAAAAGTTAGTTTGTTCATTGTTGCCAGCGATGTGTCCTTTAACTTGGACTTTGTGTCCTTTATGCCATGGCACTCACCTTGGTTGTTGCAATTTACTTGCCCCGCCATTTTGGCTTTAATGACTTAGTTGAATCACTGTATTTATTGTTATCTAGGGTCTGTTCTCTTCTCTCTGCATCACCCCATAGGTATGTTTCTAGTAATCTCTCTCTTTCACTTAGGGCCTAGATTTGGAACAGATCAGGAACACTGATCTTCTCTTTTCTTTGGAAGTATCTGTGTTGCTCTGTGGTCCAGCAATAGTCCCTGTATAGCAGGGTATTCTGGAAACTATCCCAAATTCCCTAAAGAATGCTTTAAAATTTCCAGACCATAGTACTACCAGGGCTTGGTCCATAAGTGGGATTTAGAAAGAAATTTTAGAGCAGTAAGAATGGGTCATCCAAAGCTAAGAAATAAAATGATTAGTGCTGACTCATTCTAAACGTCTAGTAGGATATTTTAAAATAGAAGAGGTAGTATGGGGGTAATGGATAGAGAGCCTCAGAATCAGGAGGCTCCTCGTTGTCAAGGCAGGAAGTTCAAAGTTCACCTTTGACCCACCCTGGCTGTGGGACCCTGGGCAAGTGACTGTCACTTCTCAATGCCCCAAGTAACTCTGCAAATTACAACACAGTTGCTGATCTACTTTGGTAGAAGGAATTTTCTCAGTGGGATGTCCCTACAATGATGAAATCACAAATCTGGGCAATTTTAAAAAAAACACAGCAATGCCCCACTTACTTGAACTTCTGACAAGTTCAGCCTGCTAAAACACAATCAAACAATCAATCAAACAAGGTTTTATTAAGCCAGAACTTTTGCTAAACTTTGGGAATATGAAGACAAAAGTGAAAAAGTAT